TCCAGACGCATCCAGTAAAGATTGCAGATTCCCCTTGGTATCCTCTTACTTTGAATATATTTGTAAAAGAGTTTCTTGATCTCTTTTACCTCAGTGGCCAAGTTGAGTTCAAGTTTGGCTTTTGCCTTTCTGATTTTCTCCCTGCATATCCTAACAACTTATCTCTGTCTTAAGACTGTTCGCTAACATCTACCGCAGTGTGGCCATCTCTGTGAATATAAAGGAAATGTGGAGAAGGCTGCTATATGCTGTGTGTTGGGGTGCCAGTTTCACAATTTTTTTGTCAATTCAGTTTTCTGTCATAACTCTGAAGCATTCCTGTGCTGTGGTTCTTCAGCTGATCAAAGTCAGTGCCTCTTCCCTGACTGTGCTAGGTGCAGAGGGCCCTCAGCACCTGTGAAATGTGCCAGAAAATTCTGTCTTTGCCATGCTTTGGGAGAGAGAGGGTCGTTTTTGGTAATTTTGGTTCTTACCTGTTATAAACACAGTTTTAAACTAGAAGAGGGGAGATTATGAATTGATCCTAGGAAGAGATTCTTCTTTATGATGGCATTGAGGCATTGGCACAGGTTGCCCAGAGGATGTTTAGCTTGGACAAGAGAAGGATTCAGGGAGACCTCATTGTAGCCTTCCAGTAGTTGAAAGGAATGTATAAACAGGAAGGGGAATGACTGTTTACAAGGTGGATAGTGATAGGACAAGGGGGAATAGCCTTAAACTAATACAGGGGGGGTTTAGGTTAGATATTAGGAGGAAGTTTTTCACACAGAGGGTGGTGACACAGTGGAACAGGTTGCCCAAGGAGGCTGTGGATGCCCCATCCCTGGAGGCATTCAAAGCCAGGCTGTATGTGGCTTTGGGCAGCCTGGTCTGGTGGCTGGCGACCCTGCACACAATAGGGGGGTTGAAGCTGGATGATCATTATGGTCCTTTTCAACCCAGGCCATACTGTGATTTTGTGATTCTATGATGCCTTTAAATAACAGCTATGGCAAATGCCAGTTCTTTTGGCAGCTACAGGTAGAAAGAAATTGGGACTTACTGTTGTGTAGCAATATACAATTAGTTTTAGCCACAGTAGATGGATAAGTTCATTTTATTTCCCAGACACTGGGCAGACATCTCAATTTCCTTCTAAACTGGCATCTTTCACCGATATAAAATCTCAGCCTACCAACAAGAGGATTTCCTTAAATAATTATTCCAATATGAAGTGATCACCAAAACAAGGGGTCACCTTCATGTCAGTGTGTATGCGCACCCTAATACTGCTATGTGCCTAACCCTGATGGACTTATGGTAAGATTCAAGAGGCTCCTTTTCTGTTCACTTCCTTGTCTTTTCTGCAGTAAATTCATTTTCTGGAGCACTGGTCAGGGCATCTAAGATTGGGGCCAAAAATGTAACTGCTTTTAACCAACACACATATCTGCTGAAACTTTGCTTCTCATAGGGGACAAAAAAATCTCATGGATACTGGGAATTGCAGTGCCACACTGGTGGTTATTTTGAATTTGTTTAAAAAAATATCATTGATTTAATATGCTTTTAGATACTGAGATTCAGTGTTCCAGAATCAGGTTTGCCGTGAATTAAAGAGTAACATTTTTGTTCTCTGTGAGGGTTTGTGCAGTCCTGTTGCAGAACCACATTATTACATTAAAGGAGTGCTTTGCTCAGGGGAAAATACCGTTAAGTCACAGATGTAAAGATCTGAATGCTTCCAAATAATTCACACACAGCTACTCCTGACTTTAAAACCATATGCTTAGGAATAGACACATAGGAGCAAGGACACTGAACACAAAGCTAGGCTTCAGCACCTGGCAGCAGAGAGCCACAGCACAAGGCCTGGACTGCCCTGCAGCAGGTAAGGGTCCCCGACCCAGAGCAGTGTGGCCTCCCTGGACACTTCCTAATACTCCACAGACTCCTTGTGGAAGGAATTGTATTGAGAAGCCTCTGCACAGAACAACAGGGAATCACAGAATCGTGGAATACTCAAAGCCTATGTCTGAAAGCATTGTCCAAATGCTCCTTGAAGTCTGGCAGCCTGAAGCCATGCCCACTGTCCTCTGGTGAAAAACCTACTCCTGAAACCCAGATTGAACTGTGATGACAGTGAATTTGGGGCACCAAACTGCAGTGGTAGTGAGCACTGCACTGTGGAGAGATGACATGGGAACATGGGTAGTGGAGAAAGAAGCAGTAAAGCTAAATGGAGTACAGCCACTTCTAAAGTGAAGCCCAGTGTGCAGGAGGGAAGAGATATTTTCTACAGAATAATTAATTCTCTACCAGAAAAAGGAAACAATCAATAGCTGCTCAGTAAAGTGACTGCTAGTTTATACCAAGATGCTCTGGTTTCCTCCCACTTATTTACACATTTAAACACAATTACTAAAATCTTCCGTAATAGAGCTGATTTAATGCTCACTAGCAAGACCTCCAGCAGCTGTGAAGACATAAGCTGGCTGGCTGCATTACATATTACGATGGCATATAATTTTTTTTTTTTTTTGTAGTACCCTTTTTCATACAGCTTAGCATCCCGTTATTCTTTGTGTTATCCAAGCAGTGATTTCCAGCCTCCTGAAGCCCTTCGCCGTTTTGTGTAACAAAACACAGTTTGCTGTGTCTTCGCAAAGAATCCTTTGTTTTCAGCAGTACACACATACTTGTGGACAGAAAAACTCTGCTTTAAAATCTCTCCTATTAGCAAAAAGTGTTTCTGTCTGCTCGCTACCCAGCTGTAGCTGCAGTGCCACCAGAGCTGAGCTGCCCACCACAGCCCCTCTGCCATGTCACGTCATCACTGGCAGAAATCCATGCTGGCTCCTCATGCCCCAGGCTCAACATTCTCACTCAGGCAGCACTGCTGGTGAGTGTTGTCTCCAGGCCAGATCTGCTTCCTCCCATTATGTGAGAGGAACGTACAAACTGGTACACTTAATTCCCCCTTGAAGGAGAAAGCACAGAGCTGGAGCAGCTGCAAGTACATCCCAGCAAAGCTGAAGAAAAAACAAAGCAGGGGAACTGCTGTCAGCAAATTGGTATGCTTTAAGCTGTGTTTGTAACAGAAAGCATATGATCAGGAATGCGTCTCATCTGAGGGTATGAGCTATCTTGCACACAGACTCATTATAGGCTGCTTTCCTCTAAGCAAGAGACCCTCAGAAAAACAGACGGTGCTCCTTGCCTAGCTTCACAGACAGGCACAGTTTTAGCTTAATCTGAGATTCAATTCTTACAGTTAAATGCTAGAATCAGTTAGATCCTAAGCATCTGCTGCCCAGGTGCAATACATGGGACACAGCCCAGCTTTTTGCATGGGGACCTCTAGTGCTACCCAGGGAAAAGCCATCAGTATGGGAAGGACTAAAGTGGGAGTGGTGGAAGGGGACATGCTTTATGTGATTCAGTCTAGATTGGCTGTGAAACAGAACAGGATGAAACGCAAACAAGTAGAGCAAGAACACACCTACATGACTGCCCGTGCAATGTTGCTGCTCTAAAAGACAGCATTCACCTCCAAAGAGATTCAACAATGCCACAACATTTCTGCCATGTTCCCCATGTGTCAGACTCTGCTAACCAAAAGAGTGTTTAAAGAGCAAAATGGTGATCTCACCAGATTTTAAGGTGCTGATAGTCAGACCTGTACAGATGTAAAAAAAACTGGTAATAAATCACTTCAAGTGAGGATTTTAGTAAGTTATAATATATTTGGATTTTTTTTTTCTTTTTCCTTACTTTTATTTACTACAAAACTAATCAGTATCCACAACACCTTCCTCCAAGGAAATTAACATAGGTACACCTCAAGTTGGGAGAATTTTGAGAAAAATAAACAGTACAAAAGTTTCTGCATTTAGTTTTTTCTGATAGAATTTCACCAGATTCTACTAGAATTTATCGAAATAAATTTTGTGTGTTTCACTCCAGGAGGTTTTTACATAATTGACAAATATTTGAAACTAATGCTACTGCTTCTATCAGGCTAATGAAGCCACCCTTTCATAGATACAACAGTCTCAGTTACTGGCACCAGTAGCAAGAAATAAACCATGTGAAGCCACTCTAACTTCTTAATCTAAAGCCTCACTCAATTCAGCAGGTCTTGGATTAGCAACAAGTGACCATATAGCCTCAGCTGCAGGATGAGGGCTCTTCTCTCTGCCATTTTTTAGGTTATATGTTAGGCTTTTGATTTGCTGTTGCATTTTCACAATGAAGGACAAAGCTGTGTGAGGGCCACCAATGTTCAAAGGCATGTTCTTGTTTATATTGCTTAAACAGACTGCAACAGCTGTAGGAAGCTGTCCTCAGTGAGCAAATGAAAAATAAGGCAGGAAAAGTAACTGTTTTTACAGATATCTGATGATATTTGCAAAGTATGGAACATCTCATATGCTGGATAGCTTTCACAGTACTGACTAAGAACAATACTTAATTTAGGTGTCTTGTGTAAGAGTCTCATTCAGCTTTGGGTTCTTTCCATGATGCAGCAAAAGAAATAAAAAAGCACGCAGACTTTTTTTGCTGGCCTTTGCAGAAAAACCTAGTGAAACAAAGAATAACTCTTTTATAAAAAGATGGGATCCCTTACTACATTTGTGAGTGTAACTGCATTACAAGAATATTTTACAATTACAATTGCAGTATATCAGCATGCATTTGATAGATTTCCCAACTCCTCTACATTCAGAAGGTGCTGCCTGATCTGTAATTCAGGTGACAACATTGTACCCGTAGAGAGGATGTGAGGAAGCAGGCGAAGTATAGAGGAATGGGACTCCTTGGGCTCATGTCTTCAGTGAGGTAGGCTTTTAAGAAACTGCATGCACTGGACTTTTCCAGTGTAATTTTTCTTGTTAATATCTATTAACCACATTTGGCTTCTTCTGTCTTACTGTGGAATTTGAAATGTTGCTTTTTTTTTTTTTCTTTTTAGGTTTACAAACTAATTTTGAACTACTATTCAATGGAGAAACTACACATATTTGAAAAACATATTTATTGTTACAAGAATTAGATTTAAAGCAATAGTGTACAGAGTGAAGAAAAAAGGAGTAGAACAGGGCTGTAAAAGATATTTCTAGAATTTGAGAGGTACATTTCTGGTAGAAGTTAACCTTACCAAGACAGGAACAAAATTTTAATCTCTCTTTCAGTCCCATCCCATCACCGTATCAATGGCTGGTCATCTTCCAGAGATTATTCCATCTTCTAATTAATCTCCCCACTCTACCATCCAGCTAATTTTATGTAACTTTCTCAAGTGGTGTAGAAGTTAAAACAAAATCTTAAGTACAGAATAAAGTTTCATCAATTCCTGTCAAATTGTATTGTAAGGACTACCTAGAGCCACAATAGAGTGTGTGTTTGTGTGTATAAAGCCAGTTGGTGTCTCTCTGCATTTTTACCTGTTCTTGGTTACAGTGAGCCTCTGGAAAACAAATACAGAAAGGTAAATGTTTCTGTCAGCTGATTGTTTTAGCAGTTACTTAATCCTTCTTTTGATGTCTTGGGTCAAGGAAATCCTACACCACCGAGGTTTAGTAGGAGATAGATTAAATGAATTTCTCTGTGATCTTTCCTGTAACGGAAAGAGCAGTGAAAGTTATTATTCCGTAAAAATAAAGCAGTATCTCTGTATTCCTTATTTTGAAATGTTATTTTTTTAGGTTACTAGCAGAGCATAACTGTGGTTGCAACATTAACAAAGCTGAATTTGTATTTTAAATGCACTGTTTCCCGCTACATCTTCTGCGATAGAACTGTGAGCATTGGGAAGGGAGATTTCCTTACAGGTACCACAACAATGTTCGGAGAAGACACAGAAGAGCCAAAGAACAAGCAATTTCCCCAGTTATTAGCAGGTTACTCTGAAAATAATGCTGGAGGCGTTATCAGGGTAATGCTGTGCAATATTATACATGTTCACATACCTCTTGTCACAAGCCAATAGTTTTCTAAACAGTACTGAGGTAGCTTTTCCACCTTAAGAGTATGGTGTTTAACGTCAGGACAGCATAATGTACACTAACTTGATTTTATAGAGAAAACAATAACAACATTTTTCAAAGGCTCTTAGAAAAGGCACATCTATATTTTTCTTAATTTTAATTTTAATTTTTATTATATATATATTTTTTTGCTTTAGGGCTCGACTCCTGTTCCTGCTGAACTGAGCCAGTATGTAAAATCAGAACTGATATCAGCTCAGTAGGCACCGGAGGACGGGTCCATCCATGCTCGGGACAACAGCAGCAGCCGTAAGTGGCAGCTCCAGTCGGAAACAACCATTTCCTGCAAACGATACACAGTACTAAGCTACAGCTGCAGAGAAAACACGGGAGTATACACTGAAGAAGAGCCTACAAAACAAAGCTTTACAGATAATTCCAGTTTAACATCACAAACACTAATTTCCTCTGACCTTTAGAAAAGCTCTGTAACCATGTTACTGTAGGAAATACCCTATTTTTGCAGTCAGACAGAAGGAGTGCTGTTTATTTTCAACTAAAAAAGAATGTCTTTGGTCCTCTCCAACTGCCTCTGCCTCTTAGCCACTCCACACTGTATTTGGCACACCAGCACTAATTGCAAAGCTGCCCGTCAAGTAGCAAATGGTCTCCACCCTGCGCAGGCTGACACTTAAGAAACATCCTCATCTCACCTTCTCTTCAGGTGCAGAACTTAGCCACTGTGAACAAAGAGGGAAACAATCACTGTTCACCAATCAGCTAAGCTCTGCACCTCACCAGAGAGGTCTCCATCTCAGTACCACTAATTATCAGATGAGATTCTTCCATGATGCGTCTGCTCCTTTCCTCTTTGGACTTTTTTGTTTAATGGATGGAGAGGATGCCACAGTGTACGTGTTATCAGATAGTTACAGTCATTTTCAGAGTAGCAGCTGTGGTCATGGCTATGTGGTAATCCCTGGCAATGTGATTTTAATCTTAACTCACAAATCATCATGCCAGGAACCCAAACAGCCACAACATTAAAAGAAGCCTGTGCAGTCACACAGACACATTCCTAGTGGCACTTTAGCTTTTATTTTATAGCTCACTATGCATTTCTAATCTGTCTAAAAAGTCAAACAGCAATTCTAGACTATTGTGCATAGCTAATATATAATGTTCCTGTGCTAGACAGATACTTACCACCAGAAGTTGTAGAAAAGTTTATGTCACTATTTAGAGAAATATAGAAAGATGGTGCCAAGTATTGTAGTACCAGAACAAACTGCATCTTCCTATTCCTGGCATCTACCAGATTGTAAAATGTTGTATGTAACTCCAATTACTGTGCGCCCCTGATAACTGGGAGACCATGTAAGCGAGTCCCGTAGGTCTATTTATTTAGAAGGCAATCTTCTCCTCATAACTGCTACCCTTGCACTCTTCAGTCTCCACCACATTTCCCACAAAGGTTTTCAAACAGACATATTGCTTGCCTATACAGAACATGTATAGACAGACATGTACAGAACTGTTTATAAACAAACTTGTATTCATGGCATCTGCTGTACTTCACAAAAATAAATGCAACGAATTCAAGTGGAACTTACATTCAAGTAATGCCACATGTACAGGCTTGAATAGGAGGAAAAAAGTAATCAAGATTCCTACTAAGTACCAATTAGAAAAAAATGGTTTTGCTAAATTAGAAGCCTTAATTCTGAAACCAAAGTCAAGGCAATCAGTCTGTCAGGTGAGCTATATCATGAAGCAAAAATGTGAGGTATACTGGAAGAGATATTCACTAATCCTATTTGGCTTCGTGTTTAATATGTGTACAAACACTGAGAAGCAATTCAAATAGACTGACAGATAGTGAATATCTTTGCAAATAATAATTTATAACCTCCTTCTACAGCAATCTTTATTTTGTGAATATTTGTTGCAATTTTGCTTCTTTACTGAATTTTCTATATTAATTTCAGAAACAAATTAGATTCTGTATGACATTAACCAGCATCTTTATGCTAAGGCTACTCTTATCTTATAACCAGTCTCCAAACACCTGACTACACTCTACATGGTTGTGAAGAACAAATTGTGCACTTCAAACCAAATCTGAATCATGTGAGAACAACTTCCATTTGGGGCTCACATTCTTTTCAAAGACCTGTACTACCTGTACAATCAGCATGTGCTTTCTCATACAGTATGCTGTAGACAGAGTTAAGAATACAGAATAGAAAACAATTGTAGGTGGAACCTGGCCTTTCCTGGCCATTCTGACTTACAACTGCCCTTCGTATATCCAGCACAAAGTTTACAGCAAAGCATTTCCATGCTCTCCAGCAAGTGCCTATACATCTAACTCACACTCCAGCAGCTGAGCTTAAAAAAAAAAAAAAAAAATTAATTAATAAAAAGAAGATATTCAAACAAGAGTTACTTCTTGAGCTAAGCAGCCACAAGTTCTGTGGTATGCCAAGGTTTACTATGTTTTGTGAGCTCTGCATATTCTTCCTTTTTGAGGCAGATCAACATGTTTAATTTAAAAAGAAAATTCACCTCTTCAAAATAACATCTCTGCCACCACTTCGGCTGAGGACATATCCATTTGTTCTTGTGCTGCAGCAAAGCATTTGTATGCAAGTTCTTGTTGTTTGGCATCTTCATTCACCATTAATTCACCATAGAGATACACACCCATTGCCTGAAAGAAGAACATAACATACGGTCATCCTGTTATGACTAGTTGGATGGTTTTCATTTTGTTGGCCTCCAAATACTCATTTAATTCAAAAACACCACAAAAAAGGCCTTATATTCTATAGCATAACTTTCCCCAGAATGCAGTTTTTCGCTAGCTCTCTGTGGCCTAAAATTGCCTATGTGTTGTGTTGAGAGTGAAAAAAACAATATTAATTTAAGAAATGTCATGACAAGAAAGTGTTTTCTCACCCATTTTTCTTGCCACTTTTGAAGTTGAAATCTGTTTTCTTTTAACCACTACCTGAAATATTTCCAAATGCCCCTTAGGAAACCAGCTTGTCCTTCCTTTAACAGGATACACATTTTCTTTCCAACTGAGACGTTTCCACGTACACTAATAAAGGGCACATCAGCTGGAACACCCACTCCAGAATTCCCACCTGGCAATTCTGTAACTCAAAATCAAGAATGTGTGGCCAGGTCTGTGTTTCAGACTTTCTTATTGACATCTGAGATGTGGCTGAACCTTCTGTCAGGATTATGTCTCTTAGTGCTCATCCTGAACAAAACCAGACAGCCGAACATGTGGGAGTAAGATGTGGGCCCCTTTGATAGCAGGTAGCAAAGCACTGGCTAATTTCATGGGAAATGCATCAGGCAAAGCTTTTTTTTCCCCCTCTCTCTCTTCTGAAGATAGAAGCTTTTAATCAAATTATAATTTGATTCAAGTATTAAACTGCACTTATCAAAACCGGATTACATGAAACATTAGCAGCATAGCACATTAGCTTCTACAGTTTTACTTAATGCTTGGACAGTTGCAAGAGAGGAAATAGAGGAATAATATTGAAAAACACAGTTTGTACTACTGTTTCTCACAATTTCTAAGATTGACTGGTGAGATTAAAAATTAAGCTTTAATAGTGAAATTTATAATCTAACACTGGCTGAAATCAAAGGGAGCAGTCTCGGTCAGACATAAGTCTGCCAGATGATGTGACAGTGCCCTAACCACACTGTCCTGCATCCTGAGACCTAAAGCTCTGATTTCCAGGATCTGCAGCTGGAGATCACACTGCCTTGGAGCTGGGTTTGGGTTGTTTTTATGGTGAATGTCAAAATGATGGAATTTTGTTTCAAATAGAAATTAGCTTTTTTACCCAGTATTAATATTTTTTCCCTAAACCTTAACATTAAAATGCAACAAACATTCTGATCTTTTGTAATCCTGGAGAGAATTCAATAGCCACATTTGCATTTTTCCCAGACTTAAAAAATAAAATATGTCCAAGTTTCTCATTATCAGGAAGGATATGCAATCACTCTGATTTGAGTTGTAACGATTCCAGAATCTGGTTGTGCCATAAACTGTTTCTACTGTTGGAATAAAGTCAGTGAAAGATATTGAAGATTACATGAAAAAAAATGCTGCAAAATTTCTTTCCCGGAAAACATTTGTACTTATTTATAACCATATTTGTTCCAAACATGAAGAAAATCAATATGTTTGTGTGAACTTGATGATGTTTTCCCCTTTCTGATGGTGCATATCTGCATCCTTCCATATGATTAAAATATGCTCAACAGCACAATATATATTGTTGTCATAAATGATGTTGTTATATCATTTTCCTAGCATCGCTTTTTCCTCTGGCTTGCATATAATGGAAGCAGTGGGAGAGAATATACCATATTTTACCAGCTACCGTAAGATTAGCATGCTTTAGTGGAGCTGATCACCACGTTGGTAGATTCCTTAAATTATAGAGCTTAAGGAAACGGAAAAACTGAATACTTATTCTGCATTTCAACTGTAGCAAGTAGATGCAATAAAACAAGCTTTTAGTGTCACACTACTGGTTTCAAGAAGGTGTGAAAGGTGATTATTTTGAAGATGTTGATTAAATCCAACTGACCTGATCTTCTCTGAGAAATTTCTCAATATCTCCATATCCAGACACATATTTGTGTTTAACAACAAGTTCACACCACCGATGACGAACCTATGGAAAGAGAAAAAAAAAAAAAAAAAAAAAGAAGAAAAACAAATTAAAAAAAAAAAAAGAAAAGAAATTTTATCTGTGTCGTTCTTGCATTTGGAACCCCACAAGACTAGAAAATGTACATCTAATTCTAGATTAGTGAAATAATCTGTATTTTAGCACCGACTTGAAGCATCTTCTTCTGTATACAAATCTGTATGAACTCAAAAAGCTAGGCTGTTCTACCACACAGAGGAACACCAGTTATTAACACACTGTAACGAACAGTATTAAAGTTTTCAAGGAAATCACAACTGAAATAAACTTATGTTTAAGTAGAACGAACATGCCTTTGAAAAGCACATACTTTTTGCTGTTTTTAACTTTCTGTTCTTTATCACTCCTGCAGCACAAGCATTACTTTTCATGGCTTCCTCAGCTGTATGCACTAATCAGTCTGAAGGCTTTTACTCTATTTCTGACTCAGCATTGAGCTCAAAGGAAAAAAACAAATACAAAAAACAACAAAAAACAAAACAACAACAACAAAAAACAAAACAAACAAACAAAACAAAACCACTCTTCTGCTCCTCTTGTTTCAGCCTTTGTTCTGATAGTCAGCATTGATAATGTAAGTGCTCTTAGTATTTTTTCCCCTTTGTCCTACAGGACAAAGTCAGAGGACCTCATGTCTAAATTTCAAAAACAGCTCAGGCACCTGGTTTGCACAGTGCAGAAGTCAGTTCTCAACACTGTTTTTCCTGGTTAGAACCACAATACCTGCATAGAGAGCAGAGCAAAGCTACAGGGTGAATGTGCCCACTGCCTCACACAGTGCAGGTCTGCCATACCCTTCTGCCACTGTCTGATTACTTGAATTCCCATCACTTTGCAAAAGATGGAAAAATGAAGCTTTGTCCTTTCCTTAATCATTCCTTCCTCCATTGGGTTCCTGCTCCTAGCAATAAAGCTCCTTTCAAAAAGTTTGAAAGGAAAACACTGAGTGAGATTTGGGACTGCACACACTTTTCTTTCTATTTTTCTCAAGGTCGTTACAAATCCTGGCACAACCCCAGCCCTGCCATGCTGGACAGCTGCCAGCTGGGGCAGGAGCAGCATGTCTGTTATCCTCAGATTACACATTTACCTCCTGCTTCCCAAAAAGCCCCTGCACTGCCATGGTGCTAAACACTGCAGGAGCACCAGCTGCTGCTGACAGGCCCACAAAAGCAATCAGCAGTACAGCTGGCCTGTGGATGCATTTTGGGGAGCAATACGGCAGCGCCAAGACCATGTGCAGGAGGGCATGGCAGTGCCAAGGAGACCTGGAGTGTGGCTGGGGCAGATACGGACTACGTGGCACATAGGCTGCTGCATAACACAGCAAATGTAGTCTCTTCTTGGACCTGAGTACTATAAAGAACCATTTTTTCTTTTATAGTCCATGCCTTTAGGCTCATAACACACACATGACAATTTTATTCTTATAAGAGGAGGATGGAAAAAATAATTTTGGTTCCTCCAAATTCATTGCTCAGAGCAGAAGTAAGCTGAGCCCCTCAGCTTTGCAGTGTAACGTATGTGTCATGTGAGCAGCCCAAACCAGTGTCAGAAGGAAATTCTGAAAGAAATTATTGTGGTAGGGCTGAGCTAACCCATACCGCATCCTGTGTAAGCTCTTCTTGGCTCTTGCTTTTCTCTCAGAAGCCAATATACAGTGGTGAAAATAAGAATTCATCAGTCTTCTCCTAATTCCCTCTCTGTGATTTCTCTGTTCTCTCCTGCATGGTGCAGACATGCACACCATATGTCATTCTGGCTGGCTACCTGGGACCAACTCAACCTGAGAAGTGATTCACAGCTACCCTTCCCACTGCTGCTGGTAGCATGCGCTGCCTTCAGCAGAACCACAGCAGCACCTGCCACCTCTCCAATGCTCCTGCTGCCTGGCAGCTGAAAGCACCATCTGCCAAAGCTGGAAGTGGCTCAGAACTGCTCTGCCCAGGAGAGGCCTGGTTGCACCTCTGATCCCTAATGCACCCCCCCTTTAATTCCTTCAAATCTCCCCTGAGGTTTTAAGTCACCCCAAATCTCAACTGTGCATTTCTGAGCTTCAGCTCAGTGACAGGAAGACACTCAGACAAGCCACTTTCTCAGGTTTGACATCTGAAAACTCACTGACATGTTTCTACAAAAATAACTGCATCAAGATCTGTGTACTGGCTATCTCTAGGCAAAACACCCTGAAGGGCTGCTACTGCCAGATAGCACAGACTGCCCAGGTTAGGACCACTTCCTGTAGTCTCATATTAACTTTTAATTTCACTTCAAGAAAAATACACAGAATCACAGAATATTATGTGCAACTCAAATACCACCTGTATTTTGACAGTGCAGTACAAAATGTTTTAAAAGCAAAATGATAATGTTCAGACATAGTAAAATCTACATAACATTTCAAATGAAATAAATACTTACATAAAATTCACTGATAATCTAGCTCTAAGATAATCCTTTTGTTCTAACAGTCTGGGCCACCATCTTCTTGTAAATGGTGCTTGAAGCTGATGGAGTAAACTCGCATCAGGCATCAAGTATGTGACTCCACTTTCAAAAGAAAAGCCTACAGTAATGTATCTGTAGAACTATATTTTTATATTATTTATATAATTTTTATCTTCTGACCCAGCTGACAACTTTCTTTGTCTAATCTGCGTTACTCTCCTGAGCTTCACACAAATAATCAGGCATACCTAAAAACAAATACCCTCCCAGAAAGCTTTATATTATACTGTAATGATCTAGCTTGCTTATATTCTCAATCATACATATGCAAGCAGAAAATAAATATTTTACTTCTGAGGTCTACAAATAAGATTTAGAAAGCAAATAATCTAAGCCATGACCTTAAGAGAGAATAGAAGAAGAGGTGAGAATTGAAAATAGAAGAGAAAACAGGAGTTGTACTCAGATCTTGGTCTGCAGAATAGGAGACTAACTTCAGGGAAGATGAGTACATTTTACTGATAGCTGGATCCAATTTAAAAGACACCATGAGACAACAAATCCAAATCTCAGAACAAAACCAACACACTTAGAGATCCTAAAAAACAGTGTTATGTGAAATACAGTAAGAGTTATTGTCCACCAAAATGGAACCTTTATTAAAGGAAGCATATGTGATCTTTATAAATCATGAGTTCAGACTTTATTGAAAAAAGAATATATTTTAACAACTAGAATTGTAAATGTTAATTAAACAGTCTCAGATGCCAGATTCTGGTCTAATTTAGAAAAGAAAAACACAATAAAACTTTTTCGAAAACAATGATGTCTTTCTATAGATTAGCTTTAATTAACAAGAGGGAATGTGGTATCTCCAGAGCACCAGAATGCTGTTCTGTTCCATTTGAAATTATTTCTTTTCCATTTCTTCCTATTTACATGTAAATTGGATGCAAACATTATTTTCAGACAATTAAGTAACAATGTCACATGCTACTGGGCAAAGTAGGCTTAATGATATATTTTTTAATCCCCTTCTATCATTTTAAGAGCAAAGATTTAAGAACAGCTAAAATAACTGCTCTTTACACACCATCCAGGTTGTATCAGTAACATTTAATACAGCCTGCATTTCACATGAGCATTCCACCCTCTAAACCATAAGATGTACATGCTTTAGTATGTAAATCTGGTTTCACAAACATTTACAAAGAAAAAGAAAGATGATCGGGGATGCTAAATGAGCTTGGAAGCAATGAAACTGCTATGTTACAACTGTGCTGACAGAATATCAGATTGACAGTCTGAGAAGAATGTACTCAATAGCCAAAAACCTAGTGAATGCAAACAGAACGGATTCATCACTCTGACAAGGAGTCTGAAATTGGAATTTCTGTGTATGCCAAAGGTCTGTCAGGAGTCTGAGCAAAGAAGCTGTCTAACAGCTTTAATGAACTTGTGTTTTGGTCCAAAAACTCACTGAGTGTTCAGTGCATAAGTAACTTAACAGGATGTGAATCGCAATCCTCCACCAAAACTGCAGGGCCAGCAAAACCATATCCAGATACAGTACTGCAGAAGCCAGCAGTGTTGACAGCTACTCTTGTTCCTAAGACCCTCAGAGTGTCAAGATTCAATTAACGCTGTGTTTTACACCTGTAATGCTTTCTCACAGCCTTACTTACACTGCTTTTCACTTTCCATGCTAGAAGAACTGCTGCTAAGGGAGTGAATGGCTGGTCGGACCCCATCCACAGGGAACTGAGGGATCCCTACCATGACCTCTATTGGACATTGATTGCACATGCAGCACCATGACAACTACAATCACCCAATCACAATGTCATTTTGCTCTATCCCCAGCGCAAGTACCTTAACCCATCAGCAGTCCAATACGCAGAAGCATAATCATCTGGGAAACCCTAAGCTACCAGTGGGTGGGCTGATCAATATATTTTTGTCAGGAGACACTTGCCATTTTAAGGACAACTATGTAGTGCTTTAAATACTTAAAAGTCTTAAGTAACGAACTGGCTGTTAAAGCTACTTTAAATCTAACTTCAATAGAATACCAGACCTAAGATCTTGGTAATATTGATAGCCATGAGATACTACTTTGTTTATTTTGCTCCTTCTGATTGCTACTACCACGCAGATGAAGCAATAGCACATTATGAAGGATGTTTGTGGCTGGGGAGTAGGATTTGAAGTCCTCCCTCTCCTTCAACCCTCACCAGCTCTGATGGAGGCTGTGGGTAGAACATGCTGCAACTGATTCTGTTTATCATGAGGGAAGAGAGGGGCTGTGTCTGCAAAAACAACTTCTGTGCTTTGGCCAATTGCAAAGCTTGGGACAACTAGCAGCATGTGGAGCTGTAACTGCCCCAGCATACCAGAAAGCCCCAGCTAACAAACAGGCGTAGGCTTGAACCTCCTTTCCTTCATAAATCTGATCTGTGGACATTTCTTTCCTTTCTGTGCCTTCACCTCCCTTCCAACTGCAGGCCACTGA